TGTTCTCACACATGCTTAGCGGGCACCAGCATCACCTTCAGGGCTGGTGAAAACAGCCTGTTGGATGGACCCCACCCCAACCCCCATGGCTTCTCGTGTTCAGCACTGGGGCGGGGGAATTTGTGAGTCTAACAAGTTCTCAAGTCAAGGTGATGTTACTGGTCTGGGGACCACTCTCTTTGAGAACCACTGGTCTTTAGAGCCAAGCTGCAGCTGAAACACTTCAAGCCCAGAGAGCTTTTGAGTTAAGGTAAAGCCTTTTCTAACCCACCGCATACTTAGAAAATGGTATTGTCTGGGGCACCTGGGTGGCTCAGTTGGTTAAGCATCTGACTTCAGCTCAGGTCATGATCTCACAGTTCGTGGGTTTGAGCCCCGCGTCGGGCTCTGTGCTGACAGCCAGCTCAGAGCCTGGAGCCTGTTTCAGATTCTGTGCCTCCCTCTCTCTCTGACCCTCCCCTGCTCATGCTGTCTTTCTCTCTCTGTCTCTCAGAAATAAATAAAGCATTAAAAAAGAAAAAGAAAGAAAGAAAAGAAAATGGTATTGTCATAGAGTAATAGAATAAGCTAAAAGAATTTGGGACCCCCCACGTGTTGGCTGACCACGGGCCGTGAGGACCAGGTGTTTTGTGCCTTGGGGCACACCTGTTGGAGTGTGCTGGCACAGGCTACATGCGTATTAAAACACAGTCTGCGCCAGGATTTCTTTTTCTGTTTCTAGAACAAGGGGGCTGAGGGTGAAGTTTCTCCACTGCACCCCCTGCCAAAGCTTGAACAACTCAGTATTCTGAAGGAGCTGCAGAATTCATCTTGGCTGGTGTGTGTTAATACTTCCCTGTGGGCAGCGTGTATTTGGGTAAGGGGACCTTGTGTTTGCTAAATCCTCAGTGCCACGTGATTAACATAAATTAATCAGACTTTGCTCAAACTTTGTCCGTCCGTGATGTCTTCATTTGCGGGATCTGTCCATCGGGGAGCATCCGCCTTCAAACAACCAGGAGTGGAGAAACATCTGAGGGTACTTTTTCCGAGGCAATTTTGAGGTTCTTGTTGAGGGAGCATCTGTGAGTGTAAAATAACAGCAAACAGGAAAAACGAGTCGGACCACTTACTGTTCTGAGAACTTGTAGTGCAAGGGAAGGGGCAACTCAGGTTGTAAAAACGGGAGATGATACTTTGAGATTGCAGTGCTTTTCCCTCTGATGTCTGATGTGTTTCTCCACTTTTAATTACCAAGCAGGAAAAGCCTTTCTGTTTCCCTTCGGAGGGTGGTGTTCCTACGCTCTGTTCGAAACAAAGGCACCTGGTGATAAAGCACGTATTCATTTTAGGTTTTGTTTTTTGGTTTTGAGAGAGAGAAACTGAGCAAGCAGCAGTGGGGGGCCAGGGGTGTGAGGGGACAGAGAGAGAGGGAGCGAGAAAGAATCCCAAGCAGGTTCCACATCATCAGCACAGAGCCCGATGTGGGGTTCGAACCCATGAACCGTGAGACCATGACCTGAGCTGAAACCAGGCTTTGGACGCTTAACTGACTGAGCCACCCAGGCACCCCAGCATGTATTCATTTTAATTTTCAAGTCAATTTAATCCATAGTAATTTTGTGTCGAAAGCTGCTCTAACAGTGTTAGTCTAGTAGGTAAATAAAACTTCAAATGGATTCACGTCATATCCCATTACGGTGTGGTAAGGAGTTAAGGCAATGAGAATGATTCCTTTGGTTACAGGGAGTAATCAGTACTACTCAAGAATATGAGTATGTTATGCCAGAATGAGCCGGTTTGGGAGTCAGGTGGATGAGGGTTCCAATCCTCCCTCTACCATGTGACCTTGAGCAAATTAATTTAAACTCAGAGACTCAATTTCCTCATCTGAAAATGGAAATAATCCTATCTCACCAGGCGGTGATGAGGAATAGACAGGTTTCATAGGCACATGGTTGATACTCAAACACATGAACTTTCCCTTTTGTTCTTAGAGGTAGATGACTTTTGTCACATTGCTACCACCAGTTGGATGCAGGTCTAGCCTGATTCTGTTTCCTGTGTTGGGTGAAGTAGGAATGAAGACAGGACGAAAAGAAAAGTGGGGGATGGCTGTTATTGCACCTTTTTGGTTGTATTAATTCCAAATAACACTGATTTGCATGGAGAGAAGGGTTTCCCCACACTTAGTTTCGGGAGAAGAAGGTTTTCTTTCTTTTGAAAAAGAAATTTTTTTAATGTTTTTATTTTTGAGAGAGTGACAAGAGTGGAGGGTTAGGGCCAGAGAGAGAAGTAGACCTAGAATCCGACAGCAGGCTCCAGGCTCTGAGCTGTCAGCACAGAGCCTGATGCAGGGCTCAAACCCATGAACTGTGAGTTCATGACCTGAGCTGAAGTGTTGACGCTTAACCGACAGAGCCACCCAGGTGCCCCTAGAAAATTTTCTTTCAACGCGACCTAAAAATTCTTCAACCTTTTTATGCCATCTCTGACTTCAAGGAGTCAGGGTCACATGGCCTCTCAGGAGTCCATAGAGGCACGCGTGACGGTGGACATGGCTTTGTGAAGTGAGGAAATCACAGTGAGGAGGCCAGGTGTTTGGAGTGCAGCCCATCTGGGGCCTAGCTCTTTGTGTGCCTCTTGGCCCCCCACGGGGATTTAGGATGTTTTCATGAACTCTCCAAGGAGTGTTAGATTGTATTTGTTACCAAGATATTTTTCACAAGTGTATGATCAGAACTCTTCTGATAATTAAATTTTGAATAAAAATTTGTCCTCATTATAATGACCTCTTGTGAAAATCTTTTGAAATTACTTGATTTGAATGTATTTCGTTTTGACATTTTAGAAACACTTCTTTTTTCATTATGAATATGAATCGGAGTGAACCTGCCCTGTGTATTACCGTAAATTAATTCATTGTACTCTGTGAACTTGTCATTTTTTGAAGTTAGTCTCAATAGTGAGTCTGTATCATTCTTGTGGTTGTTTAGGTCTCCTTTTTTCCTCAGCCTCTTAGCATGTCTGTGTTTCTTTCTGGTGTCTTGTTTTCCCCTTTTTTTAATGTTTATTTTTGAAAGACAGTGAGTGGCGGAGGGACAGAGAGAAGGGGACATAGGGTCAGAAGCAGGTTCTGGGCTGAGAGCAGAAAGCCCAGTTTGGGGCTTGAACTCAGGAACTGTGAGATCACAATCTGAGCCGAAGTCAGACACTCAACTGACTGAGCCACCCAGGCGCCCCTGTTGTTTTTTTCTTTTTTAAAGTCTGGGTGTGAGGTGGGGTTCCACTATCAGCACCTCCTCAAGCAGAACCCAGTTACGGGAAGCCAGCTGGGCCCCCCGGGTGGATTTCTGCTGCCTACAGCATCCCTCTCCCTTCACTGGGGTCTCCTCCGCACCGGAGGGCCCGGGGTGGGAGTGCGGGATCAGCCCTTCCACCTGGCCCAAGAGTCCCCTGGGCTTCAGAGCTGCAACTCCGGTCATGATGGACTCTCATACTATTTTTTCCCATCAGTAATTAAAAGACATATCTTTTTTTCTTCATGTTTTCACTCTGCTTTCTTTTGACCCTAATTTCTTAGAGCTTTTCTTAAGTTATTGGAGGAAAATTGTCCACCATTTGCTGTATAGCATTAAGCCTCACTTTTCTCTGGTTCTAAGGCTTTAAAAATTTACTACAGTCTTTAGAATGATTGGTTTTGCCTGTTTACATGTTTGTTTGTTTTTTTGAATGTTTTATTTATTTCTAGGAGAGAGAGAGAGAGAGACAGCGTGAACAGGGGAGGGTCAGAGAGAGAGGGAGTTGCAGACTGAAACAGGCTCCAGGCTCCGAGCTGGCAGTCAGCACAGAGCCCGACGCGGGGCTCGAACCCACGAACCGCGAGATCATGACCTAAGCGAAAGTCGGACGCTTAACCGACTAAGCCACCCAGGCGCCCCGCCTGTTTACATGTTTTAAAGAACGTTCGCTAGGGGTGCCTGGGTGGCTCAGTCAGCTGAGCGTCTTTGGCACAGGTCATGATCTCACCATTTATGAGTTCATGCCCCACATCGGGATCTCTGCTGTCAGCGCAGACCCTGCTTTAGATCCTCTGTCCATCTCTCTGCCTCTCCCCCTCTCCTCCCCTCTTAAAAATAAATAAAACATTAAAAAAAAGAAGAAGAACTTGAGCTACATCATCAGGTTTTGTGGGCTGGCTGGCCACCCTATCCGTAATACAGTGAAGCTCAGAAATCCCTTTGCTCACACCAGGAACACAGGCTGAGGACTCCTTGTATAAATTACTAATCCCTGGTTCAGTCCCCATTGGGGCTTCTCCCCTTCTGTCCTTTGAAAGCAGCAGGTTTATACTCACTTTGCAGTCGTACTATGAGAAAAGCAGTATTTTAGCTTCTTTGAGAAAAATGAAGCATAAAAAGGAAACAAGTACCTTACCACTTGTTTTACAAATACATTTTGCCTTGGCTTCTAGGTTTTTAAGCTCCTTTTTATTTATTTATTTTTTTTATTTTTTTTTTTATGTTTTTTATTTATTTCTAGGAGAGAGAGAGAGAGAGCATGAGTAGGGGAGGGTCAGAGAGAGAGGGAGTCACAGACTGAAACAGGCTCCAGGCTCTGAGCTGGCAGTCAGCACAGAGCCCGACGCGGGGCTCGAACCCACGAACCGCGAGATCATGACCTAAGTGAAAGTCGGACGCTTAACCGACTAAGCCACCCAGGCGCCCCTAAGCTCCTTTTTAAAAGACAGAGACTGAGCACCTGGGTGGCTCAGTTGGTTAAGTGTCCGACTTCGGCTCAGGTCAGATCTCATGGTTCGTGGGTTCGAGCCCCGCGTCGGGCTCTGTGCTGACGGCTCAGAGCCTGGAGCCTGTTTCAGATTATGTGTCTTCCTCTCTCTCTCTGCCCCTCCCCCACTCATGCTCTGTCTCTGTCTCAAAAATAAATAAACTATAAAGGAATTTTTAAAAAAATACAGAGACTGCTGCTTATTCATCATTGGGTCTGGCTGACGATTTTTTTTTAATCTGCAAAGCATCATAAATTTTCATGCCATTCTTGTGCAGTGGCCATATTAATAATTAATCTTCCCTGCATTGTTCTAACTTTAGTATGTGTTTTGCCAAAGCAAGCACTGCCTTGGAGTTTTTTGTGCATATGTGTAAAAAAAAAAAAAAAAAAAAAAAAGGATATAAGAATATAAGAAACGGGAGCCCTATTCTGGAGGGTGAAGTTGGTCAAGCTAGTCCAGTTCTGCTGACTCTAAGAGATAAAGGTCAGCTCACAGCAGCTCATTCGATAGGGTGTTTGAATATACACAGTGTAGAAATACAAGTCATAAGTCGGGTAACCTTTATGCAACAACTCTGGGCTCCTGAGTGTGTGCCAGGTACCATGCTGGGCTCTAGAAACCCAAAGAGGAAGAAGATAGGAGACTGCCCCAGTAACCATGGTGGATAGTCACAGAGGCTTTCGCGTGAGCGGTGTATTTAAATATTCCATGTTACCATTTACAAGGTGTAGGTCCTTGGGAAAGTTGTCATAGCTTCCTCATTTCTAAAAAGGGAATAATATGGGGCGCCTGGGTGGCTTAGTCGGTTAAGTGTCCGACTTTCGCTTAGGTCATGATCTCGTGGTTTGTGGGTTCGAGCCCCGCGTCGGGCTCTGTGCTGACTGCCAGCTCAGAGCCTGGAGCCTATTTCAGAGTCTGTTTCTCCCTCTCTCTCTGGCCCTCCCCTGCTCACGCTGTCTCCTCTCTCCTCTAGAAATAAATAAAACATTAAAAAAAAAAAAGTTTATTTAAAAAGAGAATAATAGTACCTACCTGTAAGGCTGAGCCTACTACACGATCTGTCAGTTCATTGTTTGGCACATTGTAAGCAGGCGGGCAGTACTGGCTGCTTACTTACAGGACAGTGCACTGTCCACTGGACTTAGAGATCAGGGGAGCAAGCCAATATCCTGTGTGTGAGCAGTTGTTCCGCAGTGCACGAGTGCTCTGGTGGGAGGCTTATGTACACAGGTATTCACGGAGATAGGAGGACAGGTGGCTGCCTCTCCCAGCAGAGACATGGGCGGAAGGCCTCCAGGGGGTAGTGAGCCAAAACTTGAAGCCCAATTAAGGATTACCTGGCAAAGAAAGGGGAAGGACATTCCATTCCAGGCAGTAAAAAGTTTACAAGGATACCCAGACATCTTTTCTTTTTGTAAGGTTTTGGTTTCAGGTTTGCCAGAGTCATTAAAGCTTTACGTTCTGTGTTGAGGTTGTGAAGGATGACAACCTGGAAAAGGGTTAAATGGGTTTTTAAGAAAAGGAAGTCATTTTAAATTCTGATGAAGTGTCCAGAATAAGAATAGACCTTTGACTTGGTAGCACGTTTGCCTGTGAAGCTTGGCAATGGTGTCAAGTCCTAGGGAATTCAGTGGGAGCCAAGAATGGTTCCCAGCCATCCCTGTCCCCACTGTGGTGCCATCTAAGCACACTCACGTGCAACCTACCCACAGGTTTCCCAGTTGCAGACAGATTGCACTTTCAGAAAATGATCCCACTCTTTTCTGGCTTGAGGGTCTATTAAACAATCAAGAATACCTTGTGTACTGGGGCGCCTGAGTGACTCATTCGGTTAAACATCCAACTCTTGGTTTCAGCTCAGGTTATGATCTCATGGTTTCATGAGTTCGAGCCCAACATCAGACTCTGCTGACTGCACAGAGCCTGCTTAGGATTCTCTCTCTCTCTCTCTCTCTCTCTCTCTCTCTCTGTCTCCCCTCCTCATGCTGTCTCTGTCTCTCAAAAATAAATGAACATACAAAAAAAAAGAATACTTTATGTACTTAAAGTGGTGCAATACTTGGTATGTGTTATTGCACCAATAGGAAAGGAGCAGGTCATGTTTTGATGCTATGGAAAACACGGCGTAAAGTGTGTGTTTCAGAGAAGTACAGTGTATTGATACTGAACCTAATTGCAAGGATTTATAATAGCAAAATAATCCCATTAAAACTCTGCTGTCACCTTCAAATACTTACAAAAATTCTTTGTTTAGACCCAGTAGCTTTAATTTCAGAACCCAGCATCTTCTGAGTTTTTACAGTGCTTATCAAGATACTGTGCCAAATACGATGCCTTGTCATGTAATTTGATTGCAAAGAGAATTTTATGAACTAGGTAGTTTCCCCGTTCCCCCCCACTTTTTTTTTTATTGAAGTATAGCTAACATACAATGTTATATTAAGTTCAAGTATACAACATAATGATTCAACAATCTTGACTTCATCGTGTTGCATAATCATATTTGTCACCAAACAAGATTATTACGGTCTTATTAACTATATTTTCTATGCCGTGTTTTTCATCTTTGTGACTTATTTTGTAACTGCAAGTTTATACCTGTTATTCCTCTTTAATTTACTTATCCCCCCACCCACCTCCCCTCTAGCAACCAGAAGTTTGTTCTCCGTATTTAAGAGTCTGTTTTTGTCTTTTTTTCCTGTTTGTTTTGTTTCTTAAATTCCATATATGAGTGAAATAATAAGGTGTTTCTCTTTATCTGACTTGTTTCACTTAACGTAATACTAAGTCCATCCATGTCATTGAAAATGGCCAGGTCTCGTTCTTTTTTATGGCAGAGTAACATTCCATTGTACATATATATATCACATCTTCTTTACCCATTCATCTATCATTGGATATTTTTGTTGCTTTTGTGTCTTGGTTATAATAGATAATGCTGCAGTAAACACAGAGGTGCATGTACCTTTTCAAATTAGTGTTTCTATTTTCTTTGAGCCAGTAGCCACTAGTGAAATTACTGGATCATATGGCCTTTCTATTTTTAATTTTTTGAGGAAACTCTGTACTGTTTTCCAAAGGGGATGCATCAATTTGTATTCTTTCCAGTAATGCACAAGGGGTCCTTTTTCTCCACACCCTCACCAATTTCTTATCTTTTTGTTATGATTTGTTGGTGTTTTGTCTTTTTATTGTTTTTGATTTTAGCTATTCTGACAGGTGTAGGGAAATACCTCATTTTGGTTTTGATTTGCATCTCCCTGATGATTTGTGATGTTGAGCATCTTTTCTTGTGTCTCTTGGCCATCTGTTTGTCTTTTTTGGAAAAATGTTTAACAAGCCCTCTACTCATCCTTTAATCAGATTATTAGGTTTTACTTGATGTTGAGTTGTATAAATTCTTTATATATTTTGGATTATTAATCCCTTACTGGATAAATCATTTGCAAAGATCTCCAAATTTAGTAGGTTGCCTTTTTTGTTTTGTTGATTGTTTCCTTTGCTGTCTGGAAGCTTTTCTATTTTGGTGTAGTCCCAGCATTTCATTTTTGCTTTTGTTTCTCTTGCCTCAGGAAATCTACCTAGAAAAATGTTCCCATAGCTGATGCCAGAGAGATTACTGCCTATGCTTTCTTCTAGGAGTTTTATGGTTTCAGGTCTCACAAGCAGGTCTTTCGGCTTGTGAGTTTGAGTTTTAGTGTGTGGTGTAAAATAGTGGCCCAGTTTCATTCTTTGGCATGTAGCTGTCCAGTTTTCCCAGCACCATTTGTTGAAGAGACTGTGTTTTCCCCGTTGTATATTCTTGTCTCCTTTGTCATAGATTAATTGACCATATAAGTTTAGATTTATTTCTGGGTGCTCTATTGTGTTCCATTGATCTATGTGTCTGTTTTGGTGCCAGTACCATACTATTTTGATTACTTGAGATTTTTAGGGTATCTTGTAATCAGGAATGGTGACACCTCCAGCTTTCTTCTTTCTCAAAACTGTTTTGACTACTTGGAGTCTTTGTGTTTCCATACAAATTTTAGTATTATTCTCCTTCTGTGAACAGTGCTGTTGATATTTTGATAGGGATTGCAGTATATCTGTAGATTGCTTTGAGAAGTGTGAACATTTTAACATGGTTCTTCTAACCCATGAGCATGTAATATCTTTCCATTTGTTCGTGTCATCTTCAATTCCTTTCATCATTTTTTATGGTTTTTCGAGTACAGGTCTTTCACGTCTTTGGTTAAATTTATTTCTAGTTATTTTTTTCTTGTTGGTACAATTGTAAATTGGATTATTTTCTTAATTCCTCTTTCCGCTACTTCATTATTAGTGTATAGAAATGCAACATGGTTGTCTGGGTGGCTCAGTTTGTTAGGTATCTGACTCGGTTTCGGCTCGGGTCATGATCTCACAGTTTGTAAAATTTAAGCCCCCCATCAGGTTCTGCACTGACAGTGTGGAACCTGCTTGGAATTCTCTCTCTCTATGTCTCCACCTCTCCTGCTTTCTCTGTCTCTCTCTCTCTCTCTCAAAATAAATAAACTTTTAAAAAAGGAGTGTTTAAAAAAGAAAAGGAGAAGCCACAAATTTCTGTATAATGGTTTTGTAGCCTGCAACTTTACTGGATTCATTTATCAGTTCTGGTAGTTTTTGGTAGAGTCTTTAGGGTTTTCTGTATGTACTATCATGTCACTTTTGAAGTGAAAGTTGACTTCTTACTTACCAATTTAAATGCTTTTTATTTCTTTTTCCTGTCTGCTGCAGCTACAGCTTCCAGTACTATGTTCGATAAAAGTGGTAATTTCCCTATTTCTTGATGAAAAGAGACAGATTTTCTAGAACTTGTAGTTGGCAGATCTAGAGTGAGCCTGGGTTAATCTCATGTCATTGTTTTCATTACCAGGCTAAACCAGTATTTCCTCCTTATTTTTGAAACGTTGCTCTTTTTCACAGAACTAATTTTTGTGGAGTTATTTTTAATTTTCCCCCACACCTTATTTCTGTTACTTTGTAACAACTAAGTGACTTACCTGAGTTTAACAGTTGTTGTTATTATTGTTATTATTTGCAGAGTAATATGTAATAAAGATTGGAAATGAAATTGAAAGTGTTGGATCTACTACATAAAATCCAACAATCATGGTTGGGATCCCGTCTTTCTGCCCCTTCCCTACTTTGTGCACGAGAATGCTCTCTGTCTCACAAAAATAAACAAATAAATAAACTTTAAAAAATGAGATTAATCTTTCTCATATGGGGTGGAACAATTACCAAGGATGATGATTCTGCCTGGTCACATCAGGATGAGAGTCAGGTCACTGTGATTTTTTTTCCTTCTTTGTAATTC